CATGGAGAGAGGAGCCCATGAGGGAGTAGCTTTTTCTGGCAGGACTTGTGACCCCATGGGGGACCCACGCTGGGGCAGTCTTCCTGAAGGACGGCACCCTGTGGAAGGGACCCAGGCTGGAGCAGCTTGTGAAGAACTGCAGCCAGTAGGAAAGACTCAGTGATGAACTGACCATAATCCCAATTCCCTATCCCCCTGCACTGCTGGGTGGGGAAGAGGTAGAAGAAATTCATAGTGAAGTTAAGCCCAGGAAGAAGGTGTTTTAAGATACGGTTTTAGTTTTCATTATCCTGCTCTGATTTGATTGTTAATAAACTGATTTCCCCAAGTTATGTCTGTTTTATCTGTGATGGTAATTGGTGATCTCTCCCTTTCCTTATCTTGACCCATAAGCCTTTTTGTTATATTTTCTCTCCCCCGTCCAGCTGAGAAGGGGAGTGATAGAGTGGGCATCTGGCATTCTGCCAGGGTCAACCCACTACAAATACATAGTGCTATCACATTTGCATATTTTAACTTAAAGAAAAATGTCTCTGGTGCCCACATACATGGATTGATGAGAGTCAGAAGGGAGCTGTAGGTGAAGGGAGAGAAAAACATGTTATTTGTTATTCCATAAAGTGCAGCTAATGAGAGGTATTATTTATTCTGTAAGAAGAATAAAGTTGGAGAGTCTAAGTGAAGTTAATGCATTTAATTTATTACTCAATACATTCCTATCAGTTATTAACTAATTATAGGTAGTTAAATGATCGATCAGTTCTTCACAGCTGTAAACAACACTTGGTAAGGTTGACTGTAATTTTTATTCATCATCATTTATCAGTGTGAAAGCCATAAAGACAAAAGCCAGCCCTGCCAGTTGAAAGCAGATATCATCCTATTTTTTCATCTCATTTAGAGCTCAGTGAGGTAAGATCTCTGCTTTACTAAAAAGGGTGTAGTGGAATTGATGCTGAAGATTCAAGGGAATTCAATGGAGGATATAGCCCAATGGTTCCTGCTTTTCTTATTGAAGAGATGCCAGCTCACAAACACAGGCCTCTGTCACGCTTTTGAACTGCAGTGCAAAGCACAATGAGTTTCAGGTTAAGAAATTAATGGCTAGAAAACTTAGAGCAAATATAAAAAAGAGGTGTCTCTTCACCTGCTGTTTAGACTCTCTATCTAACTCACTATTGTGGCTTGTCATAGAGCTGGTTACTACTGATGGAGTTCAGAAGGAGGTGTGTAATTTTATGAACAATAAAAACCACAAGTCATAAAGATTATGGTAAGGTTAAAGTAGCTTCAGGCTTTATGGTGTAAACACAACTTTGCAGAAATAAGATTTCACAGACCTCCCTAATCTTTTACTTTGCAAAATCACAGAATCACAGAACCACAGAATGGTAGGGGTTGGAAGGGACTTCTGATGATCATCTGGTCCAACCCCCCTGCCAAGGCAGGATCACCTAGGGCAGGTTGCACAGG